AAGGAGGGTGACAGGAGTCCGAGTAAGAAGTAAGGGCCCCCCCCAGCAGACTAGGGAGACGCAGAGCAGCTTTTCTTACCCCGGAGGATGCGGGCGGCGGGACCGCGGCGCATCTGGGCGGTCCCGCCGCCTGCGTCCTCCGAGGCGAGAAAAGCCCCGTTCGTAACTACGAATCCGACATAAGTCGGATCCGCGTAACTCGGGGACTGCCTGTAGTTTGAAAGCAAGGTTTGCTTTAGACCACGCTTGTCCAAGCCTGACATGAAGACAAAGGTCATCCTATTTGTTGCAGTGCTTAGAATCATCACTGAGATCCATACTTCAAAAGGATTTTGAATCTGTGTACACATTTTCTAGGCACCCTTTTTGTTTAAAATAATTTTCAAATAATTTGTGTCTTCTCTTTTTAGTACCTGTTTTCCCCTATTAATATTGGACAGAATAGTACTCAGTCACTTTAACTCACAATATATAGCATTTTTGCTCATTATAGATGCCATTTCTTGCCTTTGGAAGCCCCCGTTAAAGTTAACACAGTTGGGGCACGTCTACACAACAGGGCTAATGCCGAAAGAAGCTACACAATTTGAGCTACATCAATTGCATATCTTAAGTCGAAATAGTGTTGCTATGTAGACATGGCTTGGTGTTAGAGTGTACCAGATAAACAGAGCCCTGAGTAAAGAACAATGTGGAATAATAGTGCCCCAGGCAGGGATTGCTTGAGGTGAGATTGTGTCCTGGGAAGGCACAATCCTACCTTCAGTTTCTGTATCCACAGGCGGTGTGTAGACCCTCCTTTAATATTTGACAGGTTCATCCATTAAGATGCGTGAGCCTGTTCTTCTGGTGCAGGCAGCCCACTCAGCAGGCTCTTTGAAGCAATGTAAAACTTCTGGGGTACCTGGCAAATAAGTTTCTCATTCTATTAAGAGTATGCAAGGTTTGAGAAGGTTCATCCATTCTGTGTATCATCAGTACATGTGCACTTTACAGTCTGGCCCCCAATGGGAATCATGCAAGAATAGTGAAAAGCAGAATTTGGTACAAGTTCACGTAGTGAAAAGCAGAATTTGGTACAAGTTTGTACACCTGCCTCACAAATTGTATCAACAGAACTCTGGCAATATTGTTTGCTAGCTGTGAGACAGCCTAAGAACGTCGTACGGTTCACCTTGTGAACTTTTCAATACTGCATCTCTCAAGTTTTGGGGATCAAGAAAGAGGCAAGACTTTGCACATTCCTTGTAAAGAAACAGGATTTCATCAAAACAAATACCATTCTCCATTGTCAGTTTCTACACTCAGCTACAACAACTGGCAAGGCTCCAAACTTTGACTAGCCACATGGTCAAAACCACCATGATGGTTTTTCACCTAATAAAGCCCATTCCCTTAGAACAAATTAAATGCAATCTCCTCCTCCCAAAAAGTGAGGTTTTCAAATCATGTTATGAATATTTTGCACAGTTCCCTGCATATAAGGCTGAATACATTATAAAGTTTGCAAGACATTCAGATGCTAATGTAATGGGAGCCATGTAAATACCTAAGATAAGCACATTTGGAGTTCTGGCTACTGTCAGAGACATAATATTGGACTAGTTGAACAACTGGTCTAATTCAGTAAGGTTATCTCAATAAACAGTAATATCTATCAAGCCCAGCTCTAATCAAAGCAAATAAACTGAGGCTCCACTTCTACATGCGTTAGATGCATTACCCACATATGTCAATGATTAATGTTGTTATAGCCCTCTTGATGCCGGGTTGCTAATCTTCCCAACTGGACAGACCAAACACTATTCACAGCAATGGTTTCTGGTCTGTCCAGTCCCTGAGAGTTGGCAACCCTATCCCAGGATATTTGGAACAAAGTTGGTGAGATATCTTTTATTGGACCAACTTTCCCGCTGCACAGAGCTCGTCATTAAAGTTGGTGAGATATCTTTTATTGGACCAACTTCAGTTGGTGAGAGTCACACTTTCCCGCTGCACAGAGCTCGTCAGAGTATTTTTCCCAGACCTGATGAAGAGCTCTGTGTAGCTTAAAACCTTGTCCCTCTCACCATCAGAGGTTGATTGAATACAAGAAATTACATCACCTACATTGACTCTTTAATGACTAATGTAACATTTATAAAGCATTTATAGTTTAACAACCTTTACCTTACCAGGTTGCAGAGAGTCTGATGAGTTTGTTTCTGTACACATGGATAATCCAGATGTCAAAAGACTGACCCAAACAGTGACATGTGAATCTCCCCACTAGACCAGTAGCTCAAGGGAAACAAGCTTAGGGACAGAATAGGAAGGCAAGGCACAAAGGCTCATGCTGTAAGTGCCTGTTGCCTTACTTTGTCCCCTCACATAATTGACAAGGCCTTAAGGCAGCCATCAACTCCTCCTTCACCCTAGCAGATTCATCTTGACTAGGCATCATTACCAAGTGCTAAAGCCATCCTGGTGAGCAAGAAGAATCCCTGTACAGTTCCTGCAGGCCTGTGCTGAGAGACTTTAGTTGGAGCTGGAGCTAGCACACAGGAAATCTGAAATACAACCTCATACAATCATTTTCTTTTGAATGCCACTGTGTTGTCAATAGTTCCTTGTTTGGAGCTGGTGAATCCCAGCCAAAGGGTCGAAGACATGGCTAGGAGTCTGTGCAAAGATGTGGGGTAGCCAGGTCCAAGAGAGGCCCCTCATGCCTTCAGGCTCACATATCTACTGGAATGGAGAGTACAGCCTCAGGGATTCATGCCAACGGTGGGACTCTGTTGGCCCAAGCATGGAGGAATCCTTGAGGCTGTGGTGGCAACGTCCTGCATTGCTCCTGGGAGAGGTCAGTATTGTACATGCTGCTGGTTCTGGCGTCTGGGGACGGTATCAGTCTCTCCCAGGTTGTCTCCAATGGATTAAACCCTGTTACCTAACATGGGACTTTGCAGCAAGTGCAGACAGGGCACTAAGGGCACAAATCCTCCGGCTGCCCAGCTGGGGGCGGCTCGTTGCTCGGGAGGCCTGAGCCTCACCTACTCCCCTTCAGGACTACGCCCAGGGCGACGCCTTTCCGAGGGGCCGGGATCCCCCGGCACAGTCCCTTCTTGGGAGCTGCGGGCGGGAGGTAACCGACTCCCCGACCGCTACCCGGGCAGCCGCAGCCAGAACCCAGGGCGCAGCGGCAGCAGGGCGGAACGGACGGCGCGGAGGCCGCCGTGCCCGGGCGAGAACACGGAAGGCTGCACACGTGACGCCGTGGTCCTCGCTCCCTTCCCCCACCCCCTCCGGTTCCTCCCGGGATCCAAGATGGAGTCGCTGAGTAAAGCGGGGCAGGAGATGAGCCTGGCGGTCTTAAAGCGGAACGATCCCTACATCACCAGCATCGCCGACGTGACCGGCCAGGTCGCGCTCTACAGCTTCAGCCCCAAAGCCAACGAGTGGGTAAGTGGGGAGCCGGGGCCTGCCGCCTTCCCCCAGGAGCGCTGCAGACCCTTCCCCCGGGCCGAGAGGAGAGACACCGACACCCCCACACGCCCTCCCAGGGGAGGAGAGCTGGGCCCAGGCCCTCCCCCCATTTCCGGGGATAGACCCCGACACGCTCGCTCCCCATCCCCAGCGCGCAGAGGCAGCCACTGTCCCCTTAACGAGAGAAACCAAAACTCCCCGCAGCAGTGGGGAGTGGCAGCCCCAGAACCGCCCCCCCCCCCCATACACACACTGGGACGGGAGGCCCCCAGGGGTTAGGCCGTTCAGCTTGTGGGACTGTGCTTTGCGGGGTAAGGGCCGTGACTCTTGACAAGTTTGAAATTTTCACACTTTTCCCTCTCCCAAGCATCTCGGACTGTTCTTAGTTTGAGGAGACAATTTAAATCCGACGCCAGAAATTAATAGAGTTATTTGAGCAAAAGCTTTGTGGCAACGAAACACTTTGTCAGATATATATGACCAAGTGGGATTTTGCCCATGAAAGCGTATGCCCAAACAAGACCTCTCGTTTTTGTGGACAGAACTAACATAGCTACCCCACTGATTTTTATCATTGAAGCAGATAGAGTAGTTTTGCCTAACATGCTTTATACGCTCAATTGTGTTTGTTTGCAGGGTTTTTTCGGTTTGTATTTGTGTGTGTATCTATGTACCTTTCTAGTTGTCACTTTCCACCTGCTGATAATTTTGAAGTTCAAAAAGTATGGGATTTTAGAAATATTGGTACTGACTGCTCTTCTGAAATAAAATTTCCGATTAATTTCAAGAATATCTTTCTTTTTCTACAGTTTTGAAAATAAAGACCATCAATATACACTACATTTCTAAAAAAAAAAAGTTAATATGAATGTAAAGAGGTTTTAAAACATCTTGTCAGACACAGAGGTTTGCAGTTACATGCGAGGTCTCTGAGATCTTATTCCTGCAAAAACTTAAGTAATGTGAATAGTCCAGTTGAACCCAAAGTTATTTTGCAGGTGGTAAATCATGTGGCTTTTTTCTTTTTAGCTAAGTTTTAATATATAAAACAAGATATCAGTGCATAGCATGAAATTAAAATATAGATAGCTGTGTGTTCAATTTATAGCTATTGTAGCTATTGTCCAAAAAAACTCATTGTAATTTGTCATTGCAAGATACTTTTAAAATTTTTTTTTGCAAAGTAAAATTTTATTACTATACATGAATATGAGGTTACTACAGAGAATATATTTGTTTGACTTTTCTAGTGAAGCTGGTTAGGAGAAGAAAGTGATGAGAAATGTATAATTTCTCTAAAAAAATGAATAATGTTATTATCAACAAGATAGCATGTATAATTTTATATATTTGCCTTAAGTTAGCAATTCATTGAAAATATGAGATTAAATCTGAGTTTTATGATGTCACGCATCTTTGAAAAGTACTAAAAAAGTTATTTTTTTTGTTAGAATGCAAGCTGCCTAACTGTATGAATAACCATATCACTAAAATAGATGTAATTGCTGTCTCTTGTAGGAGAAGACTGACATAGAAGGTACCTTATTTGTGTATAGAAGGTAAGTCATACAAAAATGCTTTAATATGTAACTATTAAATTTAGACTTTATCAAAGTTGGCTTTTTAACTAATTCTGATATTTGACCAGAAATTCACATCCAACTTCATGTTTTAAAATGAAATTTAGCACCTAGACATATAACTCTTCAGAAAGTGCACACACAACATTTTAGTAACAGTCTTGAAGAAAATAAATGAATAAAATGAAGAGAATCATAGAAATTAAAAAATTGTAATTAGGTTATTTTATTAATTTTGGTAACTGATTTCCTAATATATTCCTGAGTGCTTTTAATGATAGGAATTAGGGATGTAAGCAACTAGTCGACCAGTGACTCGACTAGTCGCTTTCCCTCCTCCGCCTTTCTGCCTCTATCAGAGAGAAGCAGCAAGAGGGCTGGGAGCAGGAGTTGGCATTGGGGGAGCTAACTTAAAAGCCGGTTCACCCCTAGCACCATCTCCTGGGGGAGGCAGAGGCATAGTGGGGGACCGGGCATGAGCTGGTAAGCAGCTAATTCCCAGCGTCGACCAGTGACTCGACTAGTCGCTTTCCCTCCTCCGCCTTTCTGCCTCTATCAGAGAGAAGCAGCAAGAGGGCTGGGAGCAGGAGTTGGCATTGGGGGAGCTAACTTAAAAGCCGGTTCACCCCTAGCACCATCTCCTGGGGGAGGCAGAGGCATAGTGGGGGACCGGGCATGAGCTGGTAAGCAGCTAATTCCCAGCTTGTGTCCTGTCCCCCCCCCCCCCCCCCCCCCTTTAACTTTTTAAGTGTATTACGAGCCTGGCAGGTCTTCATAAATTTAAAAAGCAGAGCCACAGGGGGGTTAGCTCCCACTGTGGCTCTGCAGTTTTCCCCCATTATCAACTAATCGACTAGTCGATTAACTGATTAAATGCAATTTAACATCGCCAATAGGCAGGGCTCGACGAACCGCGGCAAGATCTACTCGCCAGCCCCACACCCTGCAAGCGCCAGACCAGCACTGCACATGCGCACAGCACCGGTGAACAGGGCGACCGGCTGAAATCTATTCGCCACAGGCGAGTAGATATAGCGATTTGTCGAGCCCTGCCAATAGGGATGTAATGCTATAGTAAATTAACCAATAAGTAAAAGCTTGTAGGTTAATGCTGTAGACCAGTATTTCTCAACCAGTGGTCTGAGTACCCTTAGGGGTACTCAAGAGAAGTTGGGGGGGTATATCAACACAACTGAAATTTGGAGAAAACTGAATTTTTGTTTCAAGTTTTACAGTGCTTTATTATTTTTGTACTTTTTTCATCCAAAAATTTCATTGCCCACCCAGCTACGATTAAGTTGTTTAAACAAATGTGTTGCAGTGGTAGAAAAAAAATGTGTGTGCTTGAAAACTGTAGGTACTGGGGGTACTTATAATTTTTTTTTAAAAGGGGTACTTTATTTTTAAAAAAGGTTGAGAAACACTGCTATAGATTACATGCATTCCTCTTCACCCCGCCCCGCCGCCTCACTGTGCCAGTCAATTTTTTAGCAAGGTGGCCAGCAGCCTAGCTCTGTCCTGGCTCACGCCAGGTTCGGGACCTACCACTGCTGCGGCTCTGAATTTAAAGTGCATTAGGAACCAAGTGGACAGGCAGCCTGGCTCAGTTGCAGTTTGCGCCAGGTCCGGGAGCTCAGATCCCACCTGGACAGGGTTTGCTGCCTCCCCACACTGCTGCCTCTTTTTCAGAGGCAGCAGCGCAGGGTGACGGGCAGCCGGTCCACAAGGGAGGCTGGTTTTCAATCTGGCTCTCTTTGTGGACTAGCTCCTGCCTGGCACTCTATGCTGCTGCCTCTGATACAGTGATAGGGAGTTCCTCGGGAGTGGGGCTGGAGCACACTGGCTGCTGGCCTCCCCCCTGGGGGACTATAAAATGGCTCATGCCAGGTCCAGGAGCTCAGCTGCCCCCCCAGACAGGCTGCTGCCACCACGCACCGCTGTGCACTTGCTGCAAGCACTACCCCTCAGGACTATAGAATAGTCAAGTAACCAATTAAGAATTCATGGGGTTAATCGACTATTCAATTAACCAATATTTACCATCCCTATTTAATAACCCAAGTAATAATGTTTCCCCCACCTTCCAGAAGTTATTATATAATGTATGTTCTCTTAGTTTCCAGTGAATTGGTCTGCTATTTTCCACTGTTGATACAGATGATGTAAATTAAAAGCTAGCAATCTATATATATGCAACTTTGGGATTTTTAATTTGTTCAGCAGATGACTTTAAGGATATATTGGGGCATATCTCTCAATAAGAAATAGCATGTGAATATCACCAAAGGCTTCATCTTTACCTAAAGGAAGATAGGGCACTAATGTAACAATGAATTACTGATCCATTTTATATATAAAAAATGAGTCAGGCAGCCACACATTTAATATTACTGTTATTTTTTATTGACCCTGGCACTAGGAGGTTCTGAATATCCATTTGGCTTCCTTCCTGTAATCACCTAAACAAGTGTTTAATTTCACTACATAAGTCATTCTGTTTAATTTCAATGAGACTTGCTTGCAATAATAAAATTAAGCATGTGCCTAAATCTTGGAATCGGGTATGTTCAGCATATCTCAGGAGGCTCTCAGCACTATGCATTATTAGGTCCTCTATGAATATGGTTGTGATGTTGCTGAAATCTATACAGCTAATCACATCTGGTTATAATGTAACTTATTTTTTTTATTTTGTGGTTGTATATTTTTTCCTCCGATAGAATATCCTCACAATATGACCAGAATGCTGCCAATTCTCATGAGTCTTATAAGACTTTAATAATTTAAGGAGAATTAAATACAGTATTGTTTTGTTTTGACCTTTGAGCATTTACTTGCATTTTTCTAAAGCTAAACTCTAAAGCAAGTCTTGAACAGAATATTTTGAAGTTAAATGTTTTTATGCCCATCGAACAGTTTTCTTATATATTTATTTTCTCCTAGGAACAATTTTGAGGTCTAGGGGAAAACTAATGTATTAGAAAAATCTCTCCTTTTTTGAGGGAAGTCTGGGGTGCTTTGGGATCCTCTCAGAATAATCGGGTAATGGTTAACCCAGTAAACTTAATATATAACCAGTTAATTAAATAGGATTTTACATTCCTACTTTTAATCATGCTCAACTCTTAATATTTTTAGATTCTAGTGAAGTTGTGCCTGTTTAAGATAGAGCTAAATTTTGCCAAATGAAGGTGATTTTTTTCCATTTTCCTTTAGATAGATCATGTTTAACATTTATAACTATTAAAATACTTTTTTTAATTTGTTTTTACTTATCTTTGATTATTTGTTATGCTATAAAAATTCATTTGAACCTATAAAATAGTTACTTTAATAAATAGGCTTGGTTTTGTATTGGATGATATTTGCTGTAGAGTATTTACATGTAAAAGTGATTATAGAACTGAGAACTATGTATAAACTAGATGTGTGTATAAATGCTGAAACCTGTTAATTTCTGTGTATCTCTCTATAAAGTTTCATGTAATGAGAAGAAACAGAATATTAGTAACGCTTGATTGAACTGCATAACAATTTGTCATAAAAAATATTGTGAAGGTGTCTGTTTTAACTAAACACATATGGCATTACAAATTATACTCTAAATCCATGCTTTGTTTTGGCATTTGAAAGCAAGACATGTGATAATATTTTTACTTAAGTAAAAACTTGATATACATTTAACAAATTACTCTATTCTCAATGAAACAACAGGTCAGCTTCTCCCTACTATGGTTTTACGATTGTGAATCGACTGAATATGCACAACCTAGTTGAGCCAGTAAATAAAGACTTGGAATTTCAACTGCATGAACCTTTTCTTCTTTACAGAAATGCTAGCTGTGAGTATAAATGATTTTAAAATCTATTATATGGAAGTTAAAAATCTGTCTTCTGATGTAGGCCACTTTCAGATTCTGTGATCTGATGGCCTCATTCAAGAACCTTATAATATGTCAGATTCTAATGAAATGTCTATGGCTATTTTCTTTTCTGTTCTACTTGATTTTAATACAGTTATATGTAGCTGTACAATACCTTGACATTTCTGTTTTATTTAACAGGGCTTTTTTTACTAATGTAAGGCACCATACATAGTTTGATATTCATTCTGTTAGGTCATAAGTAAACCTTTCTTTTAGAAAACAGATCACATCTATAGGTTGGTACGTTATGTGCAAAATGGAATTAAATTGTTCTGCCCAACCTGTGTTTAAAAAAATATATATAGATACATTGACCACCGTTAGATCTTAACATTTAGTTCTAAGAAAACTTTGTAGAACAGATCTGCTGGATTCAGTGATGTCTTAGGCTGTGTCTAGACTACATGGCTCCATCGACGGAGCCATGTAGATTAGGGTGATAGGCAAAGGGAAACGAAGCGGCGATTTAAATAATTGCCGCTTCATTTAAATTTACATGGCTGCCGCGCTGAGCTGACAAACAGCTGATCAGCTGTTTGTCCGCTCAGCGCGCTAGTCTGGACCCTCCCCTGCCGACATCAAAGCCTTTTGTCGGCAGCCCCGTTATTCCTTGTGGGATGAGGTTTACCGGGGCTGTCGACAAAGGGCTTTGATGTCGGCAGGGGAGCGTCCAGACGGAGGCATGTAGTTTAGACGTACCCCTAAGTGTAAACTTAAGAATAAGCCACAATCACACACAATATGTTTTTGGGGTTTTTTTAATATGGTTTTAGCTTTTCAGTGGCTTAATTTTGCAAGTGGAAGGGGAGAGTATGGTCAGCTGTTCCATGGAAATGAGACTACTTGTGGAGGAAGAACTGCTCTACTCTGGGGGAAGAACTTCTTTTCTTTACATTAGGATAGAGTGAGCTCATGTTTATGCATTCCCTCTCTACACATAAGTACAGAAATTTATTGAACCCTTTAACTATGCAGGAAAAACATTGAGCTTGATCCTATGTAACAGTATGCAAAATTACTAGTAAAGTTTTATGATTCTGCATTCAGTCATTTTCCTTTGAGCCACAGGGAACTGACCCCTTTAACTCTCTGGGTCCGTCTAGACTACAAGCCTCTTTCGAAAGAGGCTTTTTCGAAAGAATCTTTTGAAAAAGCCTCTTTTGAAAGAGATTGTCTAGACTGTAACCACTTCTTTCCAAAAAGCGAGCCGCTTATTCGAAAGCAAGCACCCAGGCAGTCTGGATGCTCTCTTTTGCAAAAGCCCTGTTTGCATTCAAGAATGCCTCTTTTCAAAAGAGCACTTTCGAAAAAAGGTGTTCTTCCTTGTAAAATGAAGTTGACGATGGTTGAAAAAATTGCCTCGTTCTTTCAATTTACTTTCAAAAGAACGCAGCGGCAGTCCAGACGCAGGGGAAGTTTTTTCGAAAAAAGGCTACTTTTTTCAAAAAGACCCTGTAGTCTAGACACACCTTCTGTGAGTCCAGCAGTATTTGCTTAGCTTCATCCAGATGAACTTCTGAATCTAAATACTCAGGCATAGACAGCTACATCTTGGCTTTATATTTTAGGTTTTGAACTTGCTTCCTCACTTTCTTCTGACTTGTGTACAGTTCTTGAATATAAAATTTGGACTCCTCTGTCTGCATTATCTTTCAGATTAAAAGCAGTCAGTGGCAGTATTTTCTGGATCACAATCCTTAGGTTTGTATAAATTCATTGCATATGTAGGTAAGCAGTGACTTTTGGTTAGTAGGTTGAGACACAAAAGAGAAGGTGTCTTTCTCCTCCTTGTCTTAGTATCAGTATATTTTCATTTCAGATGTTCTACCCATTATGCACTCAATCAACAGCAGAGTTTAGAACTAGTTCTTAATGTCTGTTCCTGTAAAGGTTTCAGCTGAAATGCTGCCAAGAAAGCCTTTGTCAACATTAAACCATATTGTGATCCTATTCAGAGGAAGGACTTCTAGTATGGGAGTGAGAAATTACCTCTTACATTGTGTAAACATTGCGTTATTAGGAGCCTATTGTATATAGGTAGTACAGTAGCTTTAGATTTTGCACAGAGAAACCATTATGGTGGTTCTGGAGCAAATTTCTTCTGTTGAGATTTCTGAACTCCCCAAATTTTCTTGATATGCAGACTTCAAAGAAAACATAATTTATGGAGATACCACGTTTTAAAAGAAAGAGTTTACCAGAACTCCTTTCTAAGGGGAATTAAAAAGAACTGAAGATAACTTTCCTTGGGATAGTAAGTTGTATTTTACAGGAGATAATTCTTGAGTGTTGCCTTCGATTCTTTTTATCCTTTCAAAGTGTAATTAAGCAGTACCCCCATTACGTTATCTTTGTGATAGGCTTTTTCCTCTTACTTTAGGTCAAACAAATGTGATCAGTATTACTCTGAAAGGCGTCTGCCTTTCGTTATAGTTGGTTGCTTTGAGAAACTCCTGTGCAATTTCAAAATCATTTGAAAAAGAGAGCATAATTTCCAGTATAGAACTTATATTAGTTTACTTAACTTAGTAGAGAAGTTTGAGGATTACAGTGCTTCAGGAAGTGGGTGGTTGCATATATAGAGAGAACAGAATTTTCCTGTAAACTTCTCCACTATCACCTGTATGGACTATTTATGGAAAATCAGTATTTTGTTCTGGCTTCATGTTAGTAAAATTTAACAATTTGGAAGAGGGGATATTTAAATATTTATACATTTTTCACTAAGTGAGCCAAGGATAGTCACTAGAAATAATTTAATATTGCTTTCTTTTCAGGGACTTATGTTTAAAAATCATGAACTGGCTTAATTACATACTCTCTTCATTTTAGTTTTTTAATATAATTTGATACAAATTAGTTTAATTTGATATGAGTTGTAACCTAAATATTGGTACATTTCAAGATAGACTACAACAGCATGTTTCATAAACGAGTCTGTTTCCTGGTCTAAGTCAATGCTAACTTTGTGTTCAGTGTAATGAGGGGTAATCTTGTACTGATTATTCTTCTTCTTGAGTGGATGGGCTGGGAATGCATCACATTTCTCGAACTCCTAAAACAGTGATCCCCAACCTTTTCAGGTTGTCGGGCGCCAGGGGACGTGGCCGTTCGCCCACCGGGCGCCAGGGGGCGGGGACACTCGCGCGCCCGGGGGCGCCCCCCCCCATAGCTGCATGCCCGGAGCCAGCCCAGATTGCTCCGCGGGCGCATGTAAAGAGCCCGGCGGGCGCCATGGCGCCCGCGGGCACCGGGTTGGGGACCACGGTCCTAAAACCTCTGTCCACGTCATGGCCACCAAAACTGCTCCACATTTCTAATCCTGAAAGGAATTAATCTGCATCTTTTATCATAACAGTTGTGGTCCTGTTATGAGCTAAGATTTGCACTTCCGAAGGAACATAAGGAAGGAATAAAAGACATGAAAGGAAATTATGTGGCACAGTTATTTGTTGAATAAAAAAGCACCACTAAAACCTCTGTCCACGTCATGGCCACCAAAACTGCTCCACATTTCTAATCCTGAAAGGAATTAATCTGCATCTTTTATCATAACAGTTGTGGTCCTGTTATGAGCTAAGATTTGCACTTCCGAAGGAACATAAGGAAGGAATAAAAGACATGAAAGGAAATTATGTGGCACAGTTATTTGTTGAATAAAAAAGCACCATATCAATAACCAGGGCTCGCTGAACCACAGCGAGCCCTGCTCGCCAGCCACGCTGTCCGGCAGTCTGTGCATGTGCAGATCATTCTGTGCATGCACAGATCGTCCAAACCCGGCTCTTCCGGGTTACAATCTACTCTCCACGGGCAAGTAGATTGTATTATTTGTCGAGCCCTGTCAATAACACTTTCAAAACTAAGGTGAAACTGTGATGCTAGTAGCATTTCAAAGTTCTTCACCATGCCCTGCCATTATGCCTGGACCTGAAGGATCATTGGGAATAAAAGGCTAGTCTGCTATCCATACTAGGGATGTAATAGTGTAGTCAATTAGTCGATAAGCTAAAGCTTATAGGTTAATGCTATAGACTACATGCATTTCCCTCTCCCCCTCTTCTTGCCAGTAAATCTTTTAGCAGACTGGCCAGCAGCCTGGCTCAGTCCTGGCTTGCGAAGGGTCCGGGGACCTACCCCTGCTGTGACTCTGCATTTAAAGTGTATTAGGAGCTGGGCAGGCAGCCCGGCTCAATCCTGGCTTGCACAGGGTCTGGGACCTACTCCCATTTCAGCTGTGCATTTCAAGTGTATTAAGAGCTAGGTGGGCAGGCAGCCCAGTTCAGTTCTGGCTCACTCCAGGTCCGGGAGCTCAGACCCCCGTTAGATGGGGACTGCTGCCACCCTGCACTGCTGTCTCTTTCTCAGAAGCAGCAGCACAGGGTGAGACAGGCAGCCGGTTTGCAAGGGGAGCTGTTTTTTTAATTGGCGACCCTCACGGACCAGCTCCCACTTGGCACCCCACGCTTCTGCCTCTTATACAGTGGCTGCCAGCCCGCTCCAGGGGACCATAGAATAGTTGACTAACTGATAACATTTCATGAGGTTACTTGACTTTTCAATTAACCGATATTTAACATCCCTAATCCATACCAGTTCAGTCTGTGGCATATCTGCTGAGACTCCCAGTATGGGATTTCCTTCAGTGATACAAATATCTATTGACTGTGAACTGGATTGGTCTCAGGTTAGACAAAAAGTAGCCCTCAGGTGATTATTTTTACAGTGGTTGCTTGTGACAGGTAATTTACCTAGATGGATGAGATAGTAGAAATGATTTTCTTGTCAAACTTTTCTGTGCTCCACACCTTTCATGAAGCCCCCATGGGTTATGATTTGCTGCATACATATTTTTCCAATGGCAGAATTGTTGTGACTTGTTGATTGAGAATGAGAGCTGATTTGTAGCTACTGCACAACAAAAATCTCATATATTGTGGTATTCATCTTCTGATACAAAAAACATTAAGCTCATTTGTAAGGGACTAATAAAAATTATTCCTATTAAGTAATTTAATTTTGTAATTAGAATTGAATACTAATCTGTTAAAGAAGTCTGTTTCATCAACAGTATTTTTTGAGTACTCTGCATGGGTCTGACAAATACACACACTTGGTACACACAAATTTGTATTAATTTGGTGGTAATATTCTCTTTCGTTGACTGCACTGTCATGGAGATGGATTAAGTGACCTAGTACACTTTTTTTTCTCTTAAAACTAACTTCTGTTCCAGTTTTTCATTTCATTCCTTTCAGGAAATTTGTTTAGTTTTTAACTAGATCATTTCTTAGTCACATTTATCCTTTGTATCTGTCTGTGTGATGTGTTACATGTAAATTTTAGCCTTGTAAAGTTAGTTATTTTAGTAGGTGCTGTTATTTCTCTTTGTAACTTCCAAACTCAGAATAACTTTTTCTTTTTCAAATATTTTTTTCTGAAAACATCAATAGGATTGTGACAGATTATTTTCATCCTAGAACAGTATCAAAAACTCTTTAATCATTAGCAAGTCAAGTCACTGTCAACTTTTAAAATTGTATATCATGCAGCTTTGAAATTCTCACCCTTTATCCATAATGCATCACATCTCTCTCCCAAAAAATGACAACTTAGATAATTTTAAGATCTTATTTGATATTATACTAATTACACCGATATCTGGCAGAGTTGGAGTTACCTACTAGACAAGATAACAGGAAGAAGCATTCCATCTTTTTATTAGGAAGTAGTGAATTCAATAGAGAAATCATGAGAATGATCCCATGAGAAGCAGTGTTATCTGATTTATTCTAGATTTTGACACATTCTGAATTTAGCCAGTATACATATTAGACTGCACTATGAAACTGTATATGTATGGGACTAAATATATGGGTCATAAAATATATAGTATGTAATAGAAAAGTTTACATTTCCCTATTACTAGTATCGTTTAATACTGTGTTGCTGCTTGCATTGTGGTCACTTGTCAGTTTCCTTAATCTTTTCAGACATAAGGTAATTTATAGTTCATGCTATAGTCCACTCTGAAAGCTCATGATTCTGTATATTTTGGTTAGTTTCTAAGGTGTCACAGGACTACACGTTTTTAAAGTTACAGATTAACATGACTACCCTACTTAGATTTTTATAGTTTATGCTGTTTGAAAAGTTTACATTTTTTCCCTCAAGAAGCATTTGAATCCCACTGAAAACATCAAAAACAATCATTTAAATATGTGTTTAGGGCTGTCCCATACCTTGATTACAATGAGCTTTTCAGAGTTCTGCTCCCATGATTTCTTGTCCCTTTCTTTGTAGTAGTGGAAGTACATATAGTAAAAAAATTATACATTTTGAGTTAGACCTGTTCAATCTGTAACTTCATTTAAAATGTGCCAGATTACAATTGCTCTGCAGTTGTATCCTTGACAAGATTAGTCTGCTTTACAGTAGGAAAAAAATGAGCTAAACATTTAAAACTAATAAACTTACCTCTAAAAGTTTGCAGGAAGTATGCTTCTAAATCTGTTTCATTTATAATTTTCCCTTTGTATCTGAGGTCTCTTTCTTGATGTAGAGGTTTTTTAATCAAAGCTAGTTCATTAGATAAATCAGGATAATTAATTTCCATGGTGCTGAAAAGATAGATGCCGAACATAAACTTTTAATATTAAGAAGAGAAGAAATCTGGTGAAGTGTTGTTTTTTCCTTGCCTTATTTCTCTGCTTGTCCTTTCCCAGTTCAAGGGTAGGAGAGCTAATGTAACACAGAAGGTAGATCCTTGAGGGGGTTTGCACTAATATTCAGAATAAAATCTGAAGTACAAACTGCTATCTTCTTTCCTTGTCATTTTAACAGCTTTTTAAAGCTTAAAAAGTACAAACTGTATTCAGAATGCTAAAAACCAAATTGTTGTATTTCAAAAGATTTACAAACACAACATTACACTTTTTTTAACTGCTTTTAGTTCTGTGTGTTTTAGCCTTAAGACCCTCTCCCATAATCATTGATATCAGTAATGTTGCCAGCATGACATGTCTCTGTGATTGCTGAAGGAGAACAAATCTATAGCAACTGCATTAGCTCAACCTTCTGAACCAAGATAAGGAGGTAGCCTGTTGTTGCTTCTTTTATAGAGAGGAGAAAACACAAAATAACCCCCTTACCCCAACCCTCTACTTGTATTTTCTTATAAAATACAAGTAGCGGGTGGGGGGTTACTTTGTGTTTTGTTTGGGGTTTGTGTTTTTTTTTGGGGGGTTGGGGTTTTTTGAGAGGGTATTTGATAGAGTTCAAGTTGACAATACTGTAGTAAGAATAGTATGGTCCCAGAGATGGCACTTTAACAGCAGTAACTTTTGCTATTTTGGGTCAGTGTTGCAAAGTAGCATTCTATATTGTGTGTGTGAGAGGCAACTTGATATGTCTCAGAACAAATTAACACTTGGCTTTCATATGAAGGTTAGATAAAGGATTTAGTACACCCATTTTGTAAATCTGGAATACTATTCAAACTAGAGAATGTCATTTCTTATCGAGTTAATTCATTTAATTTAATTTAATCTAATTTAATCTAAAACAATAGATTAGAGAATTTTGCTGCGTCTTACTTTTTTAAATTTGCTAGTTGTTTCCTTGATTATTTCCAGCTGCTGAGAAAAAAGATGCATGTTTCCTTTACTGTCCTGCCATGCAATGTACTGAGGTTCCACATTTGACTGAGATGGTATTTATCTTAACTTTCATGTGACATATAGGATGTCTTCCAACAGCTGTTGTTAGGTCTTGTTTTATGTGGCATTTGTTGTTCTGCAATTTTTCCTGATTAAAGACAATGGAATATGATACATTTCTCAAAGCTTTCTTCCTGGAATGAGAGGATTTAGTATAGTGTTCCCTTGGCAGGATAAACATTTGTCACTTTACACAGCATTTTTTTTTTTTTAATATTTAGCTAAGTAATAATGATTCAGAAGGAAAGTCACAAAATAGCCCTGGGAACAAAAAATACAGCATAGTAATTTTATCCAGGCATTTAATCTCACAGCAGAATTACATTAAAGATAACCAAATCTTAGTTGACAATCCAGGAATTAGAAATGTAAAATACCATTTAATTGGTTAACCAGTTAAACGTTATGTTTAACCATTTGACTAATTAAAGGTGGCACTGGGGAGGAGACCCCCTCCAGCTCAACTCTCCCCTCCCACCACAGACAAGGGGACAGAGCAGCCCCTGCCTGCCATGGGTCCCACGGGGCAGGTGCAATCCCCTTGGCGGGCAGGAAGCTGCTCCAGCCCCTAACAGTTAATCGGTTAACTGTTCACCTCCCTACCAGGAATAAGTTATGACATGATCCAGGAATGACACTGATTAAGTTAAACAGAATGAATATGCAAAATATAAATCTAACTGAAGGCACGGGACTGATCTTAAACGGCGAAAGCATTTCTCTGTTACTATTAAAGACATTGCTCAGCATTCAGTAAATTTTAAAAAAAGTAGAGGAAAAGCATTCAATAGAGGGACATTAGTGTGAAAAACTGGAGCAACGTAATACTGGATTAGGCCATAATTTATTACTTTGTTCAGTACTGTTTGAATTAATTTTGCAGTTATGTCCATTCTAAGTGAAAATGAAATGAAGTATTTTCTTGTTGCAATAGGAAGAAAAGTAATTGTACACTTGGTGCATCAACAAAAGACATGATACCTTTGAATAGTGAAACAAGGTAATCTCTTAAATAGAGTTTTTAAAGAGATACACAGTGGGATTTATTGTAAAGACTAACCACAAGCCACTAATTTTTGCATTCAACAAGCCTAGATGTAATCAGTGTTGTAATAAAAAGGAGATTTTACTGCTCTTTCCATATGAGGGCACGTTTACCAGGAGAGAGAACATCTAACACTTAATTTTGTAGCATCTTGTAAAAGGATCGCTAAGCAATGAATTAATGTGCAACAATAAAAAGCAGTAGTTTGCGTATCAAACATGAACATACAATTAAGAATTTCTTCAGCAATCAAGTTTTAATATTCATGCACAAAAACATCTGATTTTTGTTGTGCTGTTAAAAAGATTGTCAGTGTCTGAAACGTGCAGAGAATAGATAACTTGTTAGTAAACCTTGTAAATAGTTTGGTAATCTGTTTTACATCATAAATGACATAGACTAACTTTCATGGTAACTCCCTTTTGACTTCTGGCCAGCAGCCTAAAATGAAACATTATGATCTGTAGGTAGACAGAGCTGATTTGGGATGCATTTCTGATCTTGTGCTGGTCTGTTTCTGGCAGAATTGAATGTGACTTATCATTTCTCCCATTCACCCATTAAGGTATCATTATAGGTTTCTTATCTTTATTTCTTCAGCAAACATGCTTTTGAAGAATTTTTTTTCCTGTTGGCAGCTTTTCTGATAATAGAGATGGGAAAGAGAAGATGCACTTTTTATAATGCTAAATTATGCTACAGAATATGTTGCTGCTAAAGGAGACATGGTTTACAATGAAATTTTCATGATGTTAAGGTGGAAGTTCACAGATTTTTATTACTGAAAAATATTCCTGCCTCTTATCCATGCAGCAAATCCTAAGCGTTGGGACTTTTGAATGTTTTTTCATAAATTCCAAAGATTATACCCAAAAATAATTTCAGTTTGCCTTAAACTGTGTGTGAGATATGAGAAACTACTGACCTAAAACATTTGCATTCCATCTACCTTGACCATGTGTCACAAAGCAGGAACCGTCTAGTTTGTGCCTGCAGCATTCACGCTGGCGAGTTGGAGCGCAGAACTTTAACAAGCGCTGCTTTTTACATTTTCAGTATTCAAATTGCAGGGCAGTGTAGATACCTCTTCATAGAGGTTCTAAAAAATTATGATTCGTAAATGCAGTTGTGTGGATCCTAAATGAGTCATGATATGAAATTATTTTTGGCTATCTTAATATGAATTTCAGTTTAAGAATTTTTTTCCTTTAGCGTTTGAAGGATAGTTTAACCAAGTAGTGGCTCAGGCATCAAAAAATCTGGACAAGAACTTCAGTAGAAAGCTAGTGGATTTTTTTTTTAAATGTTCTTATTTTTATAAAGTGACTTCTCAGAAACTTGTAGCATGTAACAGGATTTAATAGAGACGGACATAACAGAGATGTACAATGTATTTTGTGGAAGTCTTTGCACTACCAACTTTGATAGGTGGAATCTTTTACTCATAAAGTAAGGTCAGTGGCCCCTTGTATGATGTGGACATGTTAGAAGATAGCCTGCTTTCTGTGATCTACAATGAATAACTTGAAATATTTTTGTTGTTTTCAATATGGTACTGCTTCTAATTCAGGGTGGAGATGAATGTTCTTAACAAACCCAATAAAAAAATCTGCCAACCCAAGAGTTTGTTGTTCACTACCAGTTTGCATTTATTGGCTATGGGTATCTGATAAACAAACACATTCTGTAGAACAAGAAAAGCCAAATACATTTCTTATAATAAACCACATCTCTGTTAGGTGTGTTCCATTTTCAAATTACAGTATCTAAAAACTTGGCAAGGATATCTTTGAGCAAAATAGTTTATTTTAGTAGAATACATAAATATTTTTAAACTTGAAAGATTTTAATAAGTTACTGAAATGACTGTCCAGAATAGGGATGTTAAATTTAGATTAACTAATTGAATAGTCAATGGGATTTCCATTGACTATTTGGTTAATCGATAAAGGTGCCTCCGCCTTTGAACTTTAAGCCGCCAGGGTTCTTGCTACAGTTCAAAAATGGAAGTCCAGCAGGGATCATGGGGCCAGCAGGGGACTCTCGCTGGCCCCATGCTCCCTGTGGCACCTGAGCCTTTGAAATGTACAAGAGCCCGAGTGGGGTTCTTGTGCATTTTAAAAGGAGAATCGCAGCCAACGCAAGCGGAGACTGCTTCAGTCCCCACTCTTGCCATTTCCCACCGTGCCTCTACCTCCCCTGTCCCCTGCAGAGATGGTGCTGGGGGGGAAACGCCTCTTAAGCTGGCTTCCCACAGCACCAGCTCTTGTTCACCCACACCCCTTGCTGTCTCTCTTTGATAGAGGCAGCAAGGGGGGGAAGCAACTAGTTGACTAGTCACTTACATCCCTAGTCCAGAATAATTAAAAATACCACGGTCTGTTTGAAGTAACTTTCAGTGTTCATGTTTCTGAACTTTACGCTGGCTTTAGGAACTAATTTCTGTTTAACCATAGTTCAGATGCAGTGTACTTTAGCGAAGTATTACAGTAGTTCGCACACTTGGCAGATGCTTTGAATCATCTCATGAAAGGACCTTCTTTGCAAGGGCACGGGTTTCTTTCTGACTCTTCTATTGAGAGTAGAATGAGATTGTTGAAAATTATTCCATTTTACTTGGTGTATCTTTCAACTCAGTGGGATTTAAAATCTGATTCAGACAAGTGTTAGTTGGACTAATCTGGTGAAAATTAAGAATAAAATTGCTGAATCAGAGCCTCAGTTGATCTATGCTTACTAAATGTTAGGAGAATAAGTAGATTTGTAAACATAAGATTGGTACAATTGAAATTTCATGTCTGCCTCCACAGTAGCGGAGAGAGTTCTAGGTAAGTGAAAGTGCCAAAAGACTAAGGCTGAATTACTATCCTGGAGCTGAAATCTCATTAAGGCAGTTTTATGTCTGAGTTGAACAATTACTGACCTCTCAGCAGCAAACTGAAATAGTTTATAATTTGTCTGCAAATATTAACTGGACTGGAATTGCATAAATGCTAGATGCTTTGAATGCTTTCATGATCATTTAAGTTGTAATATTTGGGGGATGTATTGTAGTTGCAAACTAAAGTACTTTTGTGAATTAAATTTATTTTAATTTTTGTACACTTAAAGGTGCATAATGAAATATAATTTCCTAACATAATTGATGGTATTATGTTTCATGCCTTTCCTGTACACACTACTATTGCTAAGTCACCTGCTAAAATGGTAATCATCCATGCATAGGGTATATGAGAGGAAATTGATTGTAATCCATGTATTTTAGTGCTAGTGGGCTGTCAGCTGTTTAATTACGAAATTATTTTTGACTATTTTGTCTTGTTTTCTTTTTCTGTTTTCAAGTATCTATTTACAGTATCTGGTTTTATGACAAGAATGACTGTCATCGAATAGCAAAACTCATGGCTAAGTAAGTACATCCTTTTTATTTTCCTCAAAAAAAATTCTGCCTTCTGTGTCACTTACATAATGTTCTCTCCATTTGTACTTTGAAAGATGCTTTTTATATTTAACTTTTTTAAAATCAACACTTTGATATTCTAATTACTCACTAATTAATTAATTAATTGGTAATAGACACATTTTGAATTCACATTTGAACTTAGAGCATCAAATGTTTTTCAGAAATGTTAAGTTCTTGTAAATATAGGCAGTCCCCAGGTTACGTACAAGATAGGGACTGTAGGTTTGTTCTTAAGTTGAATTTGTATGTAAGTCGGAACTGGTACATATTGTAGGGGAAACTCTAGCCAAACATTTCTCCAGAGCTCAATTTTATTCTCCCACACCTCACTTCCCTCAGTCTTTTATTCTCAAGCTCAGGTATCTGCTGAGAAAAGCTGCTCCACGTCTCCCTGGTCTGCTGGGGGGAAGCAGCTAGTGCGGGGTTGCCTCACCCCGTTTGTAAGTAGGGATCCGATGTAAGTCTGATCCATGTAACCCGGGGACTGCCTGTACTCAAGCTAAAAAAAGACAATCAATAATTTGCTTCTCTTCCCTATGTCCATCCTCCCAAAAAATGTGTTCTGGGTTTTTTTGTTTTTGTTTGTTTTTACACATCCCTGGTAGAAATAAGATACTGGGGTATCCTGATGGCAGCATATCCATACAGATGAAAAGGACTCCAACAAATAAGTTGATGATTAACAGCTAAAGTGATAAACACATTTAATTACCACACCACAAACTGAAGATTCATGTGTTGCCTGTTGGTACTATAGTTTTTGTGGGTTGTTGTTTTTTTTAAACATTTCCTATGCAGAAGACAAGGCGGGGGGGGAGAGATTGGAGAAAGATATGGGGCTTACAGGTGAGAGTGCATGGAATTATGAACTGTTAAGATGGCTTTGTTAGAGTCCAGAAATTTGCTGGAAAATGGGCAGGAAAGACCATATAAAGCTGGTTGTCTTATCTTGTCCTACAGGTTTTTAACCTTAATTGTTTACTTCACTAATGTTTTTGCATTCTCACTAGCATAAATGTGAAAACTGAACAGTACTGCAAACAGGTGACTTACTGCAAACTTCAGTATATGAGTTTAACATTCTTCAATTTTAGGCAAATTAGTAAAATGGTAGTAAGCAATTATTGTAGAATGGAACAAAGTAACAAAAACAGTTCCCCTGAAGCTAGCTGTAAACATTGTGCAGAATGAAATAGCTGAAAAAGCAAGTAGGTTCATAAACCAATGTAGATACCAACATTTATTAACGAGTGGACATATTCAAGAGATTAGGCTAATTAGTTGATTGGGGAGTCTTAATAGCTGTGGTCTTATCTTACAGATTTGTGAGCTTTTTCTTTTGGACAACATATGTGCCCATTTATGTTTGAAGATTAAATATACTTTCATGTAATAAAACCTCCAATGACATCTTTTTTGATGTGTGGTTTTTTTTTTTTTTTGTTTTTTTTTTTTTTTTTGGAGTTGTGGAAAATCACAATCCTGATTTCAGTTAGAGTAAAACTAAAGATCTGATTGAAAGTCCTTTTAAAGGCAGAGGTATAGGAAGAAAATACTCTTGGTGAGATTTTTGGATACTTTGACTGATATTTTATTAACATTTCTATTTTCATTTCTTAAAGATACAAAAGAGGGAGAATGTACTGCCCTTTACCCCTCCATTTTCAAATGGAGGGTGAAAGGGGTAAGTCTTCAGAACACATGCTTAAACCTGGTTAATACCTTTTTGAGGAAGGGAGGGGAGTACTTTCAACGTCATGCCCTCTTTTTGCCTGCCCTTGCTTTCTCTATCTTTGAGATGCTAAGCTGCTTTCTCTGATTGTCTGAGCTTTGGCAATCCCTGTGCTGCATGGATGCTTTAGTCAATAAACTTATTGTGCAGTGATCCCACTTCTAAGTTAATAGAGCTGTGTCACAGCAGCTTTTAAGAGCCAAGTCACAAACCTTTGGAAAGTTATAGTAATAATAACTATTTTCTTAAATAATAGGAAAGTGGAATTTATTTAATCAAAACAAGTTTTTTTTTCTAGAGCCTCTCTTCTGATTTCCTATTTAAAAAAAAAAAAAGCCACTAATGCCTTCTAACTTCAGGTGGCCTTCAAAATTTATGCTTACAACAGTTTGCATCAGTCTTTTTTGTTTTAATGTGTATGTATGCATAATATGGTGAAAATACATTCTAATTTTAAATAACTTTTTTGATATGGCATGCATAAAATATACATTTCATTTAATATGTGTGTCTGAAATATTTAGAACATTTAAAAACCTAAAACACTAAGGAATTGTAACTGTCCACTGCTATGGGAAACATCCCTTTTGTCAGTGAATGTAATATTTGTTCTTTCTGGAGGTTGGATAGAATCGGTGTGTTCAGTTCCTCTAGTAACTTCATTAATTTCTTCAGACTCTAAGCCTTCTTTCTGCTCCTGAGTGGCACAAACCTTTTTTATGCACATGAATAGCTGTTGATGGAGACCGAGACTTCTAGGCCCCACCCATATTAGGATAAAGGATGTATTTTTAAAACAAGTTATCATGTTTTTAAAACACAATAGGTGTTTAAAATGTATTGTTGTTAGGAATGTACAAATCGCTTTACTTTATTTTAAGTTTTATTTCTAATATATATAGGATGTGCAACATGAGTACCTTAATGTTGCTACAGGAGCTTTTCACTTTGGCATTCCTTTATTCTTAGTTTTAAGTACGCAAACTTAATGTGCATTGACACAGACTTTTCTCTTCAGTTTTTTTTATTTATATATAAAAAGAATTATATGTATGTGCATCTATAATATGTGGAAAGGCTGGATTTCAACTATTGCTTTTATAGTGGAGTTGTGCTCCTGAAGCTCCTTCCTTGTTGAGGTGAATCAGAAATATTTGCCTTTCGAGCATACTCAAACTATTATTTTTCAGTCAACTTTCATTTAAAATATTTCCCCAAATCTAGCAAAGGCATTTGTTGATGTTAAGGACTGTGTACCACCTAAGCTTACAACTAAAGCTGGATGGGTTTGTTTTTGTGTCTTTGATAGCCCTGACAAAAAACCACATATTTACAGTTTTGTAAGATGGAAGAAATGGCACCCTCTCACAAAACCCACCAATGACTGACCAAAATCTTCTCAAAACTCTAAGGTAAATGTAATTGGTTTGGGCTAAGGCTAAGCATGGGAAATAACTGCCCTAAAGGAAACATTTGTGCACAAATATGTGAGCAGAGCTGGGCGGGACCCAGATTCCCATTTAATGAGAAATCCCGTCTATTCCAATGGAACAAAAGCTTTAACATTTTCTGTGAAATGAAATTCCTTCCCCAAAATCATTTTGAATTGTTGATGAAATATATTTGTAATTATAACAAAGTTTCTCAACAGTCATTTCAAAACAAACTGATTGAAACAACATTCCAAACATCTCACAACAGAATGCTTCCATATTACCAAAATGTTTCATGTGGTGTTTTAGAACAAAAGATTAGCTGAAATTGTTCTGTTTCTACAAAATATTTAGTTTTTGACCAATGGATTTTTTCTGACTAAAAAACATTCAGTCTGAAAACTCCCAGCCAGCTCTAGCTGCTAGTATAAAGTCAGATGTGATCTGAGTCTTCTCTTTGCCTTCAACATAGTGTGCTTGTACCGTGTTACTGTCCAGCATTCACCCTGAGTTCTTCTTTTAATAGCTTGCCTAACTTGCCTATTACTCGTTTTCCTTGCAAGACTTGTAGATTCATTACTTAACTCTCCTTTTGTGAGACCCTCCAATTCCTCCTGCGCTTGAGATACTGAAACCTAACAAAGTCAGCTTGATAGTCACGTATCTTCATGTAGGGTTCTAGAACTAAATGTGCCATCACAGGGGCGCTCTTATGCTTTCCTAAGCCATACAACTATTTTATAATATTACTAGGGGGCTGTGCCCCCTGCTCGCTATGCTCACCAATCCTCCCTCTCGTGGGGGGCAGGCAATCCTGGCTCGCCATTGGGGAGGGCCATGCTGCAGCCGCACCAGCCTGAACTTTTTCTCCCTCCCCTGGCTACATGAGCCTGGGCCCTTTCTGTCTCCCAGACAGGGCCTAATCCTAATCCCCATCTCCCGGACACAGCTGTGCCAGGCCTGGCTCTGCCCTCGTTGGCCTGGTTGGGGCTTGGCGCGGGGCAGGGCTTTACCTGCCCAGGCTTGGGAGGGAAGAAGAAGAGGGGGAGGAAGAGATCTGACTCAACAAATGTTGTAACACTTAGAAAATATCTGTCAGAACAAATGTATGGAACTGCAGGTTTGCATCCATATTATGCCTTTTTAGTAAATGTATTTCTGCTAGTGGGGATAGTTTAATTTAAAACTAATACAAATGAAATGTACAGCAATTAAGTGGGTAGTTTTTGTGTATCTGTACAATTAAATGGATAAATGTTTATTCGGTAATAAACTGGAAAAGAATGTGTTCTGCTGCCTCTTTCTTCTTGACCTATACAGGCAGATGTAATGTCTAACCTTCCTTTGAAAGAGCACAGCTTCTCTAAAATCCAGTGAAACAAATGAGCTTAACTGCTATCCCTTGCAGGGAACACTTGCAGGATTTTAAAACTTGTTTATTAAAATAAGAATTAAAAAGGTATACATAAAGAGCATTCTTACTGGCCACTCTGTAAAATCAGCAGAAAGAGTTAACTTATCCTGGAACCCTTTATGACCTGAAGGGTTGAACGATTGACATTTTCTGTGATAGTTATGATGGCACTTTTGGCTTTCCCATCAGCCATTAGTATCACAGCATGAAATTTCTAATGTGACATGCCAGTTCCTAAGCTCTACTCTATCTCCAATGCTTTTTATTTTTTGAAATACTTGATTTAAGGCAGTCTCTTTAAAAGGAAATTTTTTAAAAAAGGATTACAAGTGTTGTGTTTACATGTTATCTTCTGAATTAAGATAGGTGTATAGATATGTCTTAAACTATTGAAAGGTAAAATGTATGCTGTGTTTACTCTCTCCTTCCGTCACTGAAATGCATTAGCCATGTGCTTTTTCTTCTTGTTTCTACACTCCCTTATTAGGGATGTCAGCACATAGTCAACTATATGATTAATCAATAAGCCTAGGCTTATCTGTTAATCTTGTTGACTACACGCATTTCCCTCCGCCCTCTTCCTCCCCTCCCCCTTGCCTCTGTTCAGAGGCAGCGGGGGGAACAGGAGCCTGTGCCCTCCTCCCAGCACCTGCACCATAGTGCTGCTTACCCACCTATCTCTTCCCCTCCCCGCCGCCCCGGCCACACTATATGATTAATCAATAAGCCTAGGCTTATCTGTTAATCTTGTTGACTACACGCATTTCCCTCCGCCCTCTTCCTCCCCTCCCCCTTGCCTCTGTTCAGAGGCAGCGGGGGGAACAGGAGCCTGTGCCCTCCTCCCAGCACCTGCACCATAGTGCTGCTTACCCACCTATCTCTTCCCCTCCCCGCCGCCCCGGCCACACACTGGCGTAGGCTAGTGTGAAGCAGCCTCTGTCCATGGCAGGCCTGAGCGCCCTGCAGGCAGAAGCTGCTCCACATTCTACAGAGCAGCCTCTGTCTGCGGGGGGAGGAGAGGGTCCAAGCTCCCTGTGGACAGGAGGTGCTGCCACCCTGTACTGCTGCATCTGATACAGAGGAAACAGCACCAGGCTCCCTAGGAGGGGGGCTGGGAGTGCACTGGCTGACAGTCCTGCTCCTAGGGTCTATTGAATAGTCATGTAACCACTAAAATTTCATGCAGTTACACGACTGTTACCTGATATCTAACATCCCTATCCCTTCTATGGGGATACAAGGTGATGAAAGAGCCATGAATGTGATGAAGGACCAGCTATACCAGCACTAATGTAGCCAGGGATTCCTCATGTCTATATAAGGCTGTTTTATGGCAGTGGTTTCAGGCTTAAAATATTATGTTGCTTGAATTCAACCTTCCCAATAAAGATCTCATTACTTAAATGCTACTCCATTGAATCTTGGGCACTGTAAAGACATGAGATGAAAGTTGTGGGGGAAGGATGCTTTGCAATTCTGTTTGTTTAATATTATAGACTAGACTTCCCTTCTAATTGTTAGGGATGCCTAGGTTATCAGGTGGTTACCTACTCGCATTTCTCCCCCTCCCCCCCCTCCTTTGCTGCCTCTGTATCATAGGGAGCAAGGTGGGGGCCTGGCTCAGGGGGAGGGGTGCATGCAGTCCCAAACTGGACAAAGTGGTGCAACTTTTGCTTAACAACTTACCCCCCCACCCTCACCAAAGTTGTTAACACAAATTCAGTTAGCATTTTAGGGGGTCACAGTATCACACTGTTTGAGAACCCCTGACCTAGTGACCTAGTGTTATATTTAAAAAAAAACTATTTATGGAAGCCTTAAGTTCAGTAGTTCACTTTTATGTCTGACTCTTAACACTTCTCTTTTTCCTTATTTCAAATAATATCATCGTTATAAAATTACTAGTATAACATTTTTAGTGGAGTCATGCTTCATGGTTGGACTATGTCTCTGTCCCCTACATGCTATTTTTAAAAATGAATTTTGCAGACATTTCTCAAGGGTAGCATGGAAGTGTGAAGTGATTTAGTTGAGATTGGTGCTGCTTTGAGCAAGGGATTGGACTTGATGACCTCCTGAGGTCTTATCCAACCCTAATTTTCTAAAATGCTCTGAAGTAATAAGCAAGAGGCCCCATGGGGTTACAGAAAAATAAGTCTTCTACAGCTACAAGAAGCACTGAATGAGAGAACTTCAAGGATGCTAAAAGAAACCAGGAGATCACTCTTCTCTCCTGTGCCTAAAGAGGAAGTTGATGGCAGCCTGCTCTTACATCTATGGTGCTAAAGTCTTTATACTAAAGCCACCTGGTGGCAGCCAGCTGCCTTACCCAGAGCATGTGTTTTCCTGGAGAACAAATTCTTAAGGGCATATCTGCATTGCAGTTAGACACTATGTCTGGCCAATGCTAGCAACTCGGACTAAGGCTATTTGGATATTTAATGAAATAGCATGTTCCGGTTTGGCTGTAGCCTGAGATTTGGGACCCTCCCAGCTCTCAGGGTCATACTCCCCCAGCCTAAGTCCAAACTATGGATGTTAAATTTAGATTACTTAACTAATCAAATACTCGATGGAATTTCCATTGACCAGAGGTCTCCAACCTTTTTACACCCAAGATCACTTTTTAAATGACAAAACAAGCCAAGATCTACTGCCCCTCCCCTTCCTTTAAGCCCCACCCCCTCTATTCTCCTCCTCTCCATCACTTGCTATCCCCAACTTTTATACTGCTGCTTTTTTCCCCAGTTCTTCTGTAGGAATAAGTTTTTCCAACATTTGGCCTGTCTAGACTGGACCAAATGTCAGAAAAACCCCTGCTTTTGGAAGCCCCCTTATTCCTCGTGGAAAGAGAAATATAGGGGTGACCGAAAGATCATGTTTGCTCTTCCACTAAAAGAAGTGGAAGAACAAACGCATCCCTGGATGCCGAAGAGTTTTTCTGGGATATCTCCGGAATCCTGAAAAAGTCCTGCAGTCTAGCCATACCCTCGCTGGGTTGAGACAGGATGTGTAGGCTCTGGGGTGGGAATGAGGGATTTGGGTGTGGGAAGGGGTGAGAGATGCAAGCTCTGGGAGGAAATCTGGTATGTGAGGGGCTCAGGGCAGGGGGTTCCAGTGTATGATAGGCTCAGATGTAGGGTCTGGGGGAAAGGGAAGTGGCAGGAGTGTTAAGCTGCTGTGGCCAGATGGGGGTTTGGCCCCAATTGGGGGTTTGTTGGCCAGGCTACATTTTTAAATAAAATACTATGTCAAACACAAGAAGTTTCTGCATTGTCTTTATTTCTGAGAAGGGCAGGGAACCTGTTTTGAGTCAGGGGTCACTGACCCACAGAAAAGTCAGTTGGAGCCACAAAAGTGAGATGCAAAAAAAAAGCCTCCTCCAACCCCTCCTCCTCCTCCTCCCCAAGTTTCACTAATGTGGCCCCAACTGTGTTGGTGGGAGCAGGGGACATAGTACTGGGAAAGGGTGCTAGTGGGTGCTTTAGCAGGGGACAGGGTGCCAGTGGGGACAGAGTTCTGCAGCTAGGGACAGGGGAGAGAGAAGTGGTGCGAGCGGAGACTGCTTCAATCCCCGTTTGCCCCATATTCCACTGTGCCTCTACCTCTCCTGCAGGGACAGCACTGGGGGGAACCGGCTTTTGAGCTGGCTTCCCCCAGTACCAGCTTCTGCTCCCTCTTGCTGCCTCTCTCTAATAGAGAGGCAGCAAGGGGGTGGGGAAGCCACTAGTTGCATCACTAGTTGGCGATCGATAAGCAGAAAAGTATTGGATAGTCAACTAGTCGCTTACATCCCTAGTCCAAACATCTACACCCCTGCTAAACAGCAACTTAATCCAAGCCTCAAGTCAACTGACATGGGCCTGCTGCAAGTTTTTATTTGCACTGTAGGCATAAACTAAATGTATCCAGACGTGTTTTAGTTTGGTAGATATTATGGACAAAAATGGAGAGGCTGTGGTAGTGAAAATTGAGGAACCATCCCACTCAATTTACAATGTGAATTGTTGTTTGTATATTCCATGTTCAGGTATCTGCATATATATTTTATTGTAAAAAAAAAACTTTTAAATGTACTAGTTAGGCAGAGGCTGTTTATATTATAGAAATATTTTGTGGGACGCAGACCACTGCAATCTGGGTTAGAGGGTAGTCAGAACTAGCCAAGCTGTCAGATGGACTGTACAGAGTTGATCACCAATGCAAAGTTCTGATCAGTGACTTAGTTTTTGTGTGACTAAAAAGCTGTCTTTTATAAATAATATTATATCCATTTACTGCCACATTATATATGACAGATTCATTACAAATAAAATTTCTCTGAAATCCAATTTTTTTCCCTCCTACTCTTCTCTGTTGCAGAGTGGTACAACAAGAAGCTCAAAGATCTCATCAGGTTTCCCATGACAGAGAAAGTCCCAGCAGAACTAATGGGTACAGTGAAAACAAACCCATTGACATTCTGGAAATGCTTAGCAAAGCCAAGGATGAATATGAACGAGTAAGGAAACTTTTCAGGGGGAAAAGGAGGGACATGCATTAGAGGATTATTATATTAATAATGTAAAACTAATCCAAGTATTGCTTTTGATTATGGACCTGATGTATGTCTCGTTGGAATCAAATGGAGCTTTGCCTTTGCCTTCAGTGAGTGTTTGATCAGAGCATAGTCTGTTTTATACACAACATTATAACTTGTATCAGATTTCTTCAGTACTTCTTTATACAGGCAGTCCCCGGGTTACGTACAAGATAGGGACTGTAGGTTTGTTCTTAAGTTGAATTTGTATGTAAGTCGGAACTGGTACATATTGTAGGGGAAACTCTAGCCAAACATTTCTCCAGAGCTCAGTTTTATTCTCCCACACCTCACTTCCCTCAGTCCTTTATTCTCAAGCTGAGGTGTCTGCTGAGAAAAGCCGCTCTGTGTCTCCCTCATCTGCTGGGGAGGAGGGCGCTAGCTTCGCGTCTCCCTGGTCTGCTGGGGGGAAGCAGCTAGTGCGGGGCTGCCTCACCTCGTTTGTAAGTAGGGATCCGATGTAAGACGGATCCATGTAACCCGGGGACTGCCTGTAGTTCAAGTTAATTGCATTCACTTCTTGAACCAAATGAGGTTCCTTTTTTTTAACAATAGTTCTAAAGTGAGATTCTTAAGTAACACTTGTATTAAAATTCAGAGTGAAGTTCCTATCAGAGTGAGTACACACACACACACACACACACACACACACACACTAAGATCTAGTACTTCACATAAAATTTTAAAACTGGACACTAGGAAATGAAGAAAAGCTGTAATATTTTGATTTTGTGTTTTCTGAATTGAGAAAAATGTTATTAAACATACATTACAGTATTAATCCACTGTCTTATCTCTTTGATAGTATTTGTATTCTTGGTAACAAAGATATATCATGAATAGTCCAGGAGAAATGAGCACTGAAGAAGACTTTTGTATTAAATATGGTCATAAATGTATATTACAAAAGAATTAAACATTCACAAATTGTTTTGTACATTTTCTGCACAGTATTTGAGGCTGCATCTTTTCTCATTGAAATTCACCGGAGTAGATGGATTGATTGAGACATGAATCATGATAGGATTAGGATGTGCATTACAGGTCTAAATTTAAATGATTCAGGGGGAGTTGAACCATAAGGCAAAGACCAAGGACTTTCAGCTACCCCCAAACTATAACTTAGGCATGAAATGACTTACTGACCTCAAACTAAACAAACTAAAAATTTCAGATGTATTTAAAACCAAAGCATTTCTGGATAATATAGGAGTTGACATGATGTTTGATATTGTATGTATGAAATCAGTCTCTCCTTTTACAACTTTCAGCTAATCGAATAATCAAATTTGCTTTTGTCATTCCATGGTTGTAATTTTTTATAAACTTCTCTATAAACATATATATGATTTAAACACTTGTGTTAAATTAAATAAAATGTGACATTCTCTCAGATATTAGTGGTGATTACTGTTAAAAAAATCTTTTAAAATAATGTTAGCTTCATTGATTTATTTCATTTTGTGTCAAGCTATAAAGTGAATCAGTGCCAGATATGATCCCAAGTTCCACTGTTGTATATTGGTTTATGTCAAGTTTCGCTGTATAAACAAAATTGACCAATGCTATTTTAAAATGTGGGATGACTAAAAGAATGATCACATTAGTTTAGAAGGAAACTTTGTTGCATAGATTCACATTAGTTTAGAAGGAAACTTTGTTGCATAGATTGTCATGTCTGCTACTATTTAATTATAGAGTCTTTCTCTCTTTTCTTTTGTCTGTATATTTCCACAGTGGTACAGTGTAACATTTCTGGTAAAGAAGAGTGTTTCTTAGTAGAGCTTGCCATTTTATTTCTTCACAAATTATTCTGGTGCACTCAGATTGATAATTACACATGAATTTGTATTTCAGTATTTAAGACCAGAAAGTACTTATCTGCCTCGTACATACCAGATGGATCATACAGTAATCCTTGTGTGCAGCCCACATGAGATTGGCAGAGAATCAGCATGAGAAGGGGGACAGAGAGAGAGCAAAAAAGAGATTTATAAAGGCCTGAGTGATTTTAATCTAAGGTTCTAAATCAGTTTAATCTTCCAAGTGTGGTCTTTATCAAGTCCATATTTGAAAATGAATGAGTTCTGAGATTTTTGTTGTTAAGTGGGTGGATGTTTTTTGTTGAAGGGATTTATTTTGCTTGTTTTTCTCTGTTTCCCCATCCCCCAATTTTTCTGGAAAAATAATGAAGTATATTAGAGCCAGTACTTTAGAGACAGTGATAAAAAAGGCACACTTCTAAAGCTCATTGGTAAACCACAAAATAGTCAAGAACTTTAGGCCTAATATATGTTACCACTTAAATTTTAGAAACTGATAGGAATAGGGGAAAAGTCACCTGTAATCTAAATAAGTAGTCTTTTGTTCCTAAATCTATTCAATTACTGAGAAATTTTAAAATAAAAAAATCAGACCGCCTCCTAGCCCTTTCAAAAAACCTCAAACTAACCATAATATGCCATTTGCTTGCTTTGCAGCTCAGTAGTTAAGTAACAAGAACTAGTCCCCTGTTCTGTGCTGATGTCACTTGATAATGCTGGTGTTCACAGATCTCTTAGGATAAGGTGTTATATATGCTAAAGTGGTTCTTACAGTAAATTACATCAGTTTCAGCTGCTTGAGTATTGTTTATCATGCATTTATTTAAGTTAAAAGTCACCTGAATCACAAAGTTGATTTATTAACCTATGGTATTACAGTTGGGACATTTATCTAATCTCTCTAAACAACATGGGATCTATAGTCTTAATTTCCTGAATTTCTGTGCTTTCCTTGCCTGGTATTTTACAAGTGTTAAATTTTACAATTTTAATTTGTTCCTCCATTAAAGCCTTGCATGATTAAATAACTACAATAGAAATAACATAGTTCCTTTTTCAATCAGTGAACATGACGTGTAATTTAAATATGGTCTGAATTATTGCAGTAATGAAGGGTAGCAGATTTTATTATTTAAAGTTCGTGTCCATAGTTTAAATGATTGCACCTTTGTATAAATTGAACATGTTTCTATTAAGTAAAAAAAAAAAATTAACTGATATCCTGTAAATTTCCTAATAAGAGAACAACAAAATAATACTGAGAACAGCTGGTAGATTTAATATGGTAAATTCACTGTCTAGTTATATTTAAAACTTATGAATGTACAAAAATCAAGATCTACATTCTGTATATATGAAAAAAGCAATTGCAGACAGAATTATAGCAATTGTGCTGCTGAGGTAAGGACATATTTATGTAAATATTTTCTTTTTTAGACTCAGATCAATGACTTGAGTATTATATCAAGTTCTGGAATACAGAAAAATGCAAATCCCATGAAGACAGAAAGCATGGAGACTTCAGAACAAACATCTTCAATATTACAAATGCAAGACCAGGTATGTTCACTCCAAACTAGAAATGCTAAAATCCATTTATTTAGGTAAAAAACCACTGTCATTTCCAGTGGTTACATGTTTACACGTGGGGTGGGAAGGCCCTGCACGGCTACCCCTGTATCAGAGGCAGCAGCACAATGGGGAGGGAGCAGCAGGTGAGAGCTGGTACATGAGGAGACCAGATATCTGTGAGCACTGATTCCCACCTGCCCCTCACCCATGCTTCTGCCTCTGTTACAAAGTAGCAGGAGAGAGGGGGAGCCTGCTTGTAACTGTGTACACATTTACAGTTTCACATCCCTACTCCAAACCTAAACAAAGTAGTGTTAGCAATAGAAATACAGCAGGTTTTGCACTAGTGAGATTTTTTCCCCCGATACTTCTGCAGTATTATGTACAAAAAGTATTTTTACGTTTCTGTTTTAAAAAAATGAATCCAAGATGTATGTGTGTGTGTTAATGCAGTAATTGTTAGAGATCTGTCTTCCATGTCTCTTCTCATTTCTTCCTGGTGCATGTCATGTCTTCTTTTTTTTTTTTTGTCTGACATTTTGGCTTTGAGTAAAATTTTCAAAGGCAACTGATTTAGGAGCTTTGATCCAATTTTCAGTAGAGATGTGAACATTTAGGAAACTCAGTCTCATTGAAAGTCATTAGAGCTCAAGCTCTTAAATAACTTAGTTATTTTTGACAATTTAACACCTTTTCTATATTAGGAAACTTTAAAAAAAAATTCTCCACCATTTTTATTGCTATTATTTCCATTGGCAATACCACTAGTATAGACAAAGGGGTAGATCCTGAATTGATATAAATTTTCACAACTCCCTTGAAGTCAATGGAGATATGACAGTTTACACAAGCTAAGGATCTGGCTCAAGTGATTAGTGGCTACTAGCATTAAGTATTGTGTCCACTAAACAAGGTCTGGACAGGGTTAGAAGACATGTTAAAAATCCAATTGGCTGGAGACTTGGCTATGTGAGTGATCCACCATAGCTTCTAACTGTAGAGTTTTAAAATGTGCCAACAGTGATGGGGAAACTTTAGCAAAATATCCTAATTTTGATTGCATTGCTTCATTTGCAGTTTCTCTCTTCCAGAAGTTTCTCATGGTTTAAAACAGGTTTCCTTTCTGATTGGTGAGCAGCAACACTGAACAGTTTGTAGCATGGATATTGTCAGAAGATAAACTTGCTCATTAACATTAATTCACAATGAAGCCATATAGCTTCCTACTTTAGAGAAGATTCAGTTAAAACAATTCTAATACTGTAATTAGATACCAAACAATACATCAGTAAATTGTACCTACTAACTATGCCACCTAGTGGAGGCAAAAATGTAATGCTTAATTAACTTCAGAAAATGTTCTTCAGAGATTTGGCTTAGTAATTGGCTGGTTAAAATATCCTCATGTGGTTGTATTCTGCCATATCTTTAAACAAAACAAAAAACCCAAAGTATTCTTTTTTGGCGCTTTTAAATTTGCAAATGAAATACAAAGATTTCTTCACATTTTCTGTAGTTTGACGTCTTTGGAGGAATGACTGCAATTAGAAAGGCAGCTTAATATTTACAAAATAAATCCAGGAACAAACACAAATTCAGGTTGCCTTCCAACTCTAATTTTTGGGTGGGGGCGTGGAGGGAATTTTATAGAGTATTTGAGATTAGATCTGTTTTATTAGACTTACTGTAATAAAATGTTAAACTAAACTATTGAAATATTTCCATATCAAATTTTAGAAATCTTCAACCTAGTTATTACAGAAAAGATTACAACTAGTTCTAGTGTCAGTGGTAGAAATGACTAAAAGTAGCTAAATTGAAGTATGGATATAATCAACAGAACATGAACAAGCTTGACTTTTTTTTTTTTTTTCCCCTCTTTATAAATCTAGAGTAGCAGCTGCACAGATGAAGGGAGAATAAAGAATAGCCCCATCTCCAATGAGTAAAATCAGTTTCAATTAAATGAAAAATTCATAAGGGCTAAGTTTTTCATACTTTAAAGGATAAGAGAAAAAAAATCTTTAAAGCAGTATTCAAAATATTAGTTGTATACAAAGTTCATGCTATACCTGACCCAGAAAAACCAAACACATGTAATGTATAAATATATATGTGTATATATAAATAATGTTTATTGGTTAAACTATATGTTTAACTAGTTAACTGGCCCACTATAACCAGGGGGCTGCTAGAGCAGCTGCCTGCCCACAGCACATTGGGCCAGCTGGGCTGTTCTGTCTGATCACGCTGTGGGCATGGGACTACTCCACCTGGGCTGGGCACCGATTAACCAGTTACCCCAGTAAGTATGCCAGTAAGGCAGTGCTTACTGGTTCGGTTATCCTTTGACATCCCTAATGTGGATTAACAAAATGTTATATATAACAAAGAAATACTTCTGATAAATGGCTAAAAAAAATCTGTCTGCACTGAAGAACTTTGGACTAAGTTCCTCAAAAGCTCTCTGTCAGCAATTAAGAAAGGAAATCAGTTATGTGAAGTGTTCCTATACCGGCAAATCAACAGACCTGGGTAGATTCTAAAACAATGACTGACTATCAAAACAAAGCTTTCAAATTCATTGACTATTCTAAAAAACCTTTGTTCAATTGGAATGCTGTCCAATTTGGATTTACCTCTGCAACTGTTGGCCCATAGGAGTTTAGTTCTGTGCCACTATAGAGTCCGGTCTCTTTTAAGGATCTCTTTCATTCACTCCATAATGCAAGTTTAATCTCTTGCATTTTATTAAACCAGCCCTTCCATTCCCCTGCCATGTACGGCAGTTGGACTTTTTGAAATGGCTTCAGGAGATGCACTGACTCAGCCCCTAATAAATTTGGTGACAGGGTTAGCTTGTTCAATCACGGAGAAAAAGCATAAAGGGATTATATAGCCCACTGTGAGAACCTACTGTCTTGTTGAAAACATTGAAACCTATCTCTGACAGGGAGACTTCCCCAACCACAAAGAGGAGGTAAGAATCTGCTCCAACAGCATTTGAGGTGATGGATGTGGATGCAAAAGGTTGAGGTCAGCTACACTTAACCAGGAGCTATTTCTTTCACCATGACCCAGTATTTGACTCGTGTAGAGTATTGCTTAGGAAAGATTTGTGAGCTTTTCATATTTAAAGGGACTGGTTTTGTCTTTCCTCTACTCTTTCTCTTCTTTATGACATCCTTCATGGTTTTAGCACAGAGGACAGGCCTCAGAATAGAGAGACATGTACACACAAGAGGCAGGGGGCTCACTTACAGGAGGAATTCTTGGCTCAATGAGCAGCTCCATGACTAAGACATGCAATGGGATTGTGCTGGAGACTAATTGATATCCTGAATAGAATGGCTTCCTGCCCAGACCTTGTGCTCATCATGCAATCTAGAAGGCAGAAAAACCCCAAGGTAGATAGGGCTCTCATTGGTTGTCTCTTAGATGTCTCCCAAGTGAATGAAAACATAGTTGAAACTAACCTTTTCGGCTAATACAAATTTATAAACATTTAAAATCTCTTACTAGGCTGGCCTGATGACCTATAAAGAGTGATTTCGGTTGTCACAGGCAGGATGGTTCAGGATAATAGTTAGGACTTATGTTGTAGAATTGGCTGAAAGCATCACATAAATAATGCTCTCTTTCTTAGAGAAGAGAAGGAAGCGTGGTGTAATTGATATGTTGGGGCTCTCCCCTACTAGCTCGGATTTCTGTAAACTTTTGCTCTCTAACATTGGATGCTTTTATGCTGTGCATCTTGGGTTCAGATCCTGTTTATTAAGGAAGTTTTCCATTAAGGGGATTCTTTCTGAATCCTTGATTTGCTTCTGGAGTTTCAGGGGGTGTTACTCATCCCAGGTGCCTTTTATCTGCATCTGGGGAGGCAACTGTGCATTTCACATTGTTGTAAAAATTGGGGGGGGGGAGGAAGCCATACTTTTGTGACCTCCATATTGGATTATAGACTCACTAAAAGATTTACCTGATGTTGCTTGGGTCCTCAAATCAAATAAGCTTCATTTTTCTTCATTTAAATCACTGTTCTGAGGTGGAGTTGGGGATGAGAGGTTCAGTCTGCAGGCTGCCCAGGGAGAGAGGACAACCTGAGCCCTTTTCTCACCTGACCCCAAGCTACTGCAGTGAAAGTGCCTGTCCATGGCTGCTGTAGCTTGAGCAGCCAGGGGAGGGGTTCATATCCCATCCAATGGGACAGACAGATAAGCAAACTCACTCTCTGAAATAGATAGCAATAACTGTCCCTTTCTCCCCCCTTCCCCCTGCTGACCCGATGGGACTTTAGCTCTCCCTTCCCCTCCCCCTCGTGGTCATTCTGCAGTATAATTGTCCTTCCTACCAAACTCCTCCCTTTCCATTTTATAAGGAACAGTTGAATTCCATGCACATCCCATTATCTTGGCACAACTACGTATCCTTGCTAGGGATGTAAGCGACTTGTCAACTATCTGATAAGCTTTTGCTTATCGGAGAATCGACACACTAGTCTTCTAGTTGCTTCCTGCACTTGCTGCCTCTATCAGAAAGAGGCAGCAAGGGGGGGGAGAGAAAGGGGTGCTGGGGGGAACCAACTTAAAAGCTGGTTCTCTCCAGCTCTGTGGGAGGGGGCAGGGGCGCAGTGGCAGTGTTCTACCGTTGAAATGTACAAGAGTCCTCACTGGGGCTCTTTTACATTTCCAAGGCAGAACACTGGACAGGCTCTTGCATTTCAAAGTGGAAGCGCCCTTGTTGATTATTTGATGGAACTTCCATTGACTGTTCGATTAGTTGATTAATCTAATTTTAACATCCCTAGTCCTTGCTTTAAGTTGTAAGAGGAAGCTGCATATCAAAATTGGTGGTCCTAGCTCTTACTGTTTAAGAGTTCTTGAACAGTCAGACTAGCAAATGACACACACACACACACATTTCTAAATATATAGTAAGATTTGTACCTGAGTCTATCTTTTAAAGACCATCTGGAAACTACATAATTTGTTGTGGAAGACTGTTGTCTGCTTGGGTGGTAATGGTAGTCATTGCAATTGATGTACATAGTACCCAGAAGCTGATACGTAACTGATTTCTAAAGCTCTGTGTGGCTTGGATCATGGATGCCACTTCATGATGAAACTCATGAGGTCAGCTGACAGTTCTAGATTTGATTTCTGGGTGCTGCTGGCAGGGAATTGTCTAGTGCAGGGGTTGGCGATCTGTGGCTCGCGAGCCAAATATGGTTCACTACGGAGCCAGATATGGCTCTTCTGGAGCTCCAGCTCAGCCTGTCTTATATCCCCCATTACCCCGAGCTGGGAACCCACATTGGCGCCATAGTCTTATGGCTCCTCACAAAATTGGAACGCCAGTGCCAGCTTCCTGTGGGACGAGAGAGCCCCAAACCTCCCCACCGGATCTGGTGTGCAGGGAAGAAGCCAAAAATGGCTTCATGTGCTGCCATTTCCTTCCCCCCGGCTGGGGGAACAGCCTCTCAGGAATGCACTTCCTGGGGGCTTCCCCTTTGCTCCCATTGGCCAGAATCCAGTGAACGGACGCAGCATGAGGCGATGTTACATGGTGCCTATGACACAATGCAAAAGCAAATAAGTAGCACTCTCTCTTGCCCACACCCCACATCTCTAGCCCCCTCACCTCCCCTGACCACACGCCCCAGTCCACCCCAGCCAGAAACCTTGCCCCCCAGCCTGCTCCTGCATCCTTCCCCTGGCCAGACACCCTACTCACAGCCTGCTCCTGTACCCACCTCCCGCCCAAATCCTGCACTTCTATCCCATTCACTGCAGCCCTGTCCTGCACTCTTAACCCTTCATTTTTTGCCCCACCTTAGAGCCTGGGGAGCCCACAAAATCCACTAACCCTGGAATCTCAGAGGAGTACATCTGGCCTGAGGCCATGAGCCTCAGTCCTCCCTGCCACTCCCCCCACCTGGAGCTGGAGCATCAGGAGAGTGAGGTGCTTCAGTTGGGGGCCACATCAGTGAGGTTTGGGGAGGGGGTGTGCTTTTTGGTTTGGGTTGGGTTGGGTTTTTTTGCTTCTCACTCTGTAGGTCAGTGGCCCCTACCCAAAAAAGGTTCCCCACTCTTGCCATAAATAAAAACAATGTTGAAGCCTTTTGTGTTGGACATATTTTACTTTTATTTAAAAATGAAGCCTGGCCAACAGGCTCCCAATTGGGGCCCAGCCCCCATCTGGCTGCAGCATCATAACACTCCTGCACCCCCCCACACCTAAACACTGAGCCCATCATACCTCTGACCCCCCTGCCTTGAGCCCTTCATACCCCCACAGCCCCAGCCCCCTGCCATAACATTACTGCACCCCCACACACCTCAACCTTGTGCTATGAGCCCCTCTTACATCCCAACCCAGACTTCTGCACCCCCACATCCCTAGCCCCCTGCCATAAGATTGAAGACAACCTGAATGTGTTCATGAAGCTGGATTTGACCAGTTACAATGTAAACTTCAAAGAAATGTGTGAAAAGATGCAGCAGCAGAAGTTCCATTAAATAAAGTCTGTGAATACAATGTTTCACTTATGCTATTATTAATCATTATATCAGTTATCAATAATGTTAAGTTGTATGTTTTCAGTCATGCAAATTGGCATTCTTATACAGCTCTTTGTTGTCCATTTGTTCTGAATTTTGGTGTAGTTTGGCTCTTTGGTTTGAAAAGGTTGCCAGCCTCTGGTCTAGTGGCAGTATAAATTCCTTGTGTGTTTATTCAGTTAGCTAGAGAAAAAAATGCTTGTATCAGTCTTTCTGGTGATTTTAACCAACATAGGTTATTTCCCCCACACTTACACATACATGATGCATGTGGGCCAAGTGACAATAAATATGACTCTCTTGTAACATTTACTTAATTTTAATGCAGTTAACACTGACTAGGCAGACCAGTCCCAGTTATGCAGTCTATGTGATTCCCAAATGCGCTATACTCTTTGCCTTGTGGATAGTTTTTAGAAGACACTACCATATACATCCTTTGTTCTAAATAATCTGCACTTTTTTTATAGAACAGCGTGAGAACGTGTGACTTGATTTATTTTCCTTATAGCCTTCATCACTTTGAATGCCTTGCTAATGTCCATGCTATTTCTTCAGCAGTTTAAAAGCCACTGAAAAGCTAAGAATTCTTTAAAGTAATTAAACGGCAGCCATTTTCTATAAGAAACACAAAGTTAAAACATTTGCCAAATGGAAAATAGAATCAATAGAAGATACAATATTTTCCATGTGTGTTGCACTGGAGAATGAAAACAAATTATATTATAAATGGTAATTGACAATGCTCTTCTTTTTTTGCTAGTATAAAAATTTGCTTTAACATTATCCTGTTTAAAAGTAGCAAAGTAAAATTTTAAATATAGGAAATCTCTTAATATAGTAGAAAGTCTTATGACAAGCCAGTCATGCAACGTAATCTAGGTAGGCTTAGGCTTGCCATTCCGGGGTTCTTTGATTTAAACAAGAAGACACTTGTCACATTAATTTTGTACAAGGTATTTAATTAGCTTTTGAATATTTCTTCAGTGAACATTATATAGAAAAAACCTGAAGTTGATAGTACTTGGGTTCCAACTCAGAAGTACATAAACCAGATATTCGTTTTAAGTATTATACTTGGAAATTCCTGGAGTTCACCTGTTATAACATCTGTCATGTTACCTACAGAAAGCATTTTTTTTAAAAATCGAATTTAACAGAGCCATCAAGATGTGTATTTGCCTTCTTGAGTAACTGCTTAATCTTATTGTTGTGACCCTTCTGCTTCCTCTGGATCCCCCTCCCACTTTTTAATATATGTAATTATTGATGACCTTCGCTTTTGGCAGAGTTGAAATGTATATTGTAAACTCATCTGAACAGATGTAGTGTTTCCTCCAAAACACATTACACAATTGTAAGTGATCAAAGTAATATGTAATGCTAATGGTAATTTGTTTTTCAGTTTGTGTAATTGGCTTGTTTCATTTAAAAATAATAAAATATATTAGAAAATGTATTAAATGTACACACAAGGGATCCTTTGGAATGGATACAGCATTATTTACATAGATGCAGTCTTTGTTTATCACAAAAGGGTTTGTTTAATGCAAAAATCTTTGAAGCTATTGTCACCTTTGCTGTTGCAGGTAATTTCCTGTAAAAGTCGATCTTGAGGCATAAAATAATTAAAACTTTTGAAAAACTTGTAGTATTCTTAAAAATAGGATAAGGTATATTTTACTAATCTGTTCCTGCAAGATTAGGTATAAGCTTTGACACTGAAGCACAGTTGAGAGCCAAAAATGATAATTTTTTTGTGTCTCTCAAGCATAGTTCTTCTGTAGCAAGTTTAATTCCAGTGTTTTTCTTTCCTTACATGTATCATGGGTTCCTAAAACTGACTTTGTTCTTATAATACCACCCATTTAAAATTCTTCAAGATCATTCAACTAACTGTATTTGGTTTACATTATTATGTCCAAAAAGATTTAAGTATGAGCTGTTGATACACATTGCGTTTTATATTCTTTTGTTACCTTTTTGCCATGCAATTCTAGATACGCCGTATCTGACATCTTGAATACTCTGTCATTCAAGGCAGCTGTGTTGCTGTCATTTGATTAACACTATATATCCATAGAGTGATTGTCTTTTTGTTGAGTTTATGCAATAGTGTGTAGCCTAAGGCAGTCTCCATTAATTAACTCTGTGGAAGTACAACAGTTCTTACAATCTGGATCTATATAATGGTTTTGTAATTAATTTACAGTTAGTGTATTCCACGTGGGTGAGATGGCAAGCTCTGATGTTCATGCACACATTATAAACTGCTACTTTTGATGTAAGCTCAAAATCTTGCCTCTTTCACGAACATAAGTTAGTCCAACAAAAGATGTTACTTCACCCAACTTGACTTTGTGTCAGAAAGTATTCTTCCCAACTATTTTTTCTGAATACTGTGACAGCTTCTGTGTCTAGTTTTTTTTTCACCAGTTCTCTGAACACTTTTTTTCTCTCTTTTTTTTTTTTTTTTCTAGCCATTCCAGTCAACGCACAAACATCTAACGGTAGAAGAATTATTTGGAACTTCCTTTCCAAAGGAACAACCAGCAGCTTCATATCCCAGTCCAGACAGAGTGGAGAAGTTGCAAGCTGACACTACAGGCAGAGAGCACAACTTATTCTTGCCTTTTTTACTTGAGCAGTCATCAGACACACACCAATCATTGGGGAAACCAGAGAGCACTAATGTCAAAATCAATGGCAGTACCTTGAATCAGCAGGAGTCTGTAACACCCATGCTGATTGCTCCAGCTTCAGTTTTGCAGCCTGACGTAAAGAATGTCTCAAATTATACAGTTCAGTTAAGCCCTATTCTTAATTCAGCCTCAACAACAGAAGCTCCTTCTGCTCAGATACTTTCCAACCTAAACAGTAATATGATGCAGGTGATGCATCAAACCACTAAACAGATGTCCCCAATTATGAATCAGTCACCATCTGATGTGAATCACATGCCACAAAATCTCCTTGGTGGCCAAAACCAGTTAATAGCACCTTTGGCAGTAACTAATACAGGAAATGCTTCAAATACACCCTTTGCAAATGTTGACCTTCTCCAGAAACTCAGGTTGACTCCACAACAGGACCAAATACAACAGTCTCTAAGTAAAACTACTATGATGCCTAGCAGTTCATCCACAATTAGCCAACTGGCAACACCAGAAAGCTTCAAAGAATCCCACACCAAACCAGCATCACTGAAGAGCAAAATAATCACACCCCGTCAGGTATTTTGTGGATTTATATCTAAATATATTTGTATTTCTTTTAAAATATTATCAGGCAACAAATGCTCTGTCCTTTAAATTTGAACTTCCTTAGAAATTAGGTTTTAACTCTCTAAAGGCTTTGAAGTGAGCATTTGATTTGTTAACATTAGTTTTAGATGAGAAATCTGCTCTTTCACATTAAAATTGCATATAGCTGAGATTTTGTAATTGGTTTAGGTGATGGCTTTCTCCGAGCAATATCAGTGTAACTCTCTGTCATGCCAACAGAATTTCTTAACTTTGATGGGTGGGTGTGGATGTGGGTGTGTGTTTAGATATTTTTAGTTTTTTGCTTTTATTACTTACCATTTGTAGCGTTTCCAGCTGAATTTGAAATATTCTTTCTGCAGAATTTTCTTGTGTTCATGAAGATTCTTAATTCTCCATTGTACTTTTCGGTATATGTGGATATGTTAATGGCTTGCTAAATGTTGAATAAGAATGATTTCAACCACAGGTTGGACCTCCCTGGTCCAGCACCGGCAGGACCTGACTGGTCCCAGATGAGGGATTTTGACTGACCTGGGGAGGTCATTTTTGGACCCCTGCCACCAGCTCCCCTGGCCTGCCTGCTGGCCTTCCAGCCAGCTCCCCACCTCCTGCTGGCCCCGCTGCCCTGCCTACTCCATTGGGCAGCCATCGCTGCCGTGGCTCTGGGACCCATTGCGCTGCTGGTTCCACAGGGATCTGTGCCACTAGTCACCAGGACTTTCTGGTCCTGCAACATCTGTCGGACGTGTGCCGCAGCTCCCTGCCCCACCGAGCTGCCATGGCTCCCCTCCCATCCGGGGAGTCTCGTGCTGGGTCTCCCAACACAGCTGAGCAGCCCCATTGCCACATGCTGGGCGGCCCACTGCCCTGCTGGTTCCACAGGGATCTGTGCCACTAGTCACCAGGACTTTCTGGTCCTGCAACATCTGTGATGGACCATGGATGTTGCTGGACCAGAGACTCCTAGTTAAGAATTTCTAAGTGAGAGTTGGCAGGCAGAGAAAATTTGACAAACTCTGCCAATAGACACTATTCTCTCTGTGTAATTTTCAGCTATCATAAATGATATAGCTTTTTGTAGATGAGCTGTTAATCACGCTGCTGTCACTACGGGCAAGTATGCTCCAATGTCTATATTGCAAAAATGCTACTGAATGCTGATGATGTGAATTCCTGATAAGAGGAATAAAAGTGTATTTTTACAGATTTCCTTCCTAGATAATTCTGTATAGTGCCACAGGAGTTGATAACAAGAAAGTCCAGTCAGGGTTTTGTGGAAGTATAGAATTGAATATTATTGACTTGTCTTTAGTTTCCCCTTTTATCATTCCTTCTAAGTGCTTCGCCATTTCTACTGCGAATGTAATTTCCTGTTATCCAGTTGAATAGGCAATATGTGATCTACATCTTATGTAGACTACCTTGAGGTCACTGGTGTTTCCTCTTACTTCCAGAATTGTTAAACTCTTTTTTTTTTTTTCCTGAAACCCAATTAAGGGTAATGAGCCTTTTCCATGTATGGAGGCAGATACCCAGATATAAATGTAAGCACAAAAGATTTTTGAGGCAGCTTGGAAGTCCCATATTGTTGTGTGAAGCTAAGGTTTGGTTTGGTTTTCTATTAATTATGTACAAGCTCACTATTTTTTTCCATCTGAGTTTTCTATTGCTTGCTGTTAACACAACCATAAAAGTAGCTAATTAAATTGAACACGCAATAGTTCATCTTCCTGCAAAACATATGAATTTTCTCTTGTACCTACTTCTGGAGTCATACAGAATTTTAGTTCTGTTTTTAGCATTTATGCAGATTAAACAGATCTATTTACAATAGATTTATCATGTTCTCTTAGGGTACGTTTAGACTGCACTGGTAAATTGGAAAAAGATACGTGATTTGTGGTATGCAAATCATGTATCATTATCCGATTTACTTTCGGAAGAGGCTTTTCTGAAATTTGGTGCATCTACAAGGCATCAAATTTTGGGGAAAAGTGTTCTTTCAGGCCATCCCTGAATGAGGTTTACAGGGATGGTGAAACAGCACGCCGGCTTTTTCAAAAAAATTTCCGAAAAATTGGACGTGTTCCTTGGACATGGTGTAGCTTTTCTGGGATACCGCTGGTATCCCGGAAAAGCAGTGCAGTCTAGATGTAGCCTCACTTTCATTATATTGATGTAATTTATCAAGATGTGATTGTAAATGGGGAATCATTATCAAGTAGATGTGCTTCAAGTGGGGTCCTGTAGGACTAAGGACCAACCTTGCACTTTTTAACATTTTTATTCATGAACTGGAAGAAAACATGAAATCTTCACTGATAATTTTTGTCATCTGCAAACGTTAGGGGAGTGGTAAATAGTGAGGAAGACAAGTTACTAAAACAGATCTGATTCAAGATACTCTCTGAAATTCTAGCAAACTACAGTATTTTTGGATTTCAATTATATATTGAAGTTTTTACATTGCTTAAAGGGAAACACGGAATAGAATTTTTCTATGAACTTGTTCTTTGTTTACTAAAACTTATTGAGCATTTAATTTTGGGGGAGAGGGGGCTGGTTTTTGCTATCATTTTCCAGCATACCTGAACATTTGGGTTCCAAGACTTAATTATTTTTAACTTCGATAGTCCCTGTCTTTGGAATTCTTTAACTATGGTTAAATGGCTACTGATTCTGCAGCCTTCGAATATAAACTCCAATCTTGTAAAGGCAAGTTGAAAAAACAATGTTTTGATCTGTTGTTTTGCTCCATTTATTAAATGTACAAATATAAAAAACTGCATAGACTTGTGTACTATGTCTGTTGTAGATGTTGACTTGTAACAGCAAAGAAAATATATAATTTAGATGTAGGAGAAAAAGATTATACTATTACTACAACAAATTGAAATGCTGACAGTAACATGTACACTTTCTTTAAAATTGCAGATCATACAACAAATCAGGGAGCCAGAAGTATTTCCACAACCCAAGGCTTTGCCAAAAGCCAACCAAGTAAGTATTTTAAACTTTTCTTGAGGAAATGAAATATTTCGCATGTCTACATTTTTTTTTTCTATTTTACGGCAAATAATTTCTTGTATCTTGAAGACTCAGGTTCAAGACTGTAGTCATTAACATGTCCTTTATTCCTTTTCCACCTCTAAAAGTTCAGAAAATGCTATTATGTTTAGGAAAGAAGTCTATATACTAAAAATGGCTTCTCTTTAATGTATGATCTCTTCCCTGTATGTTTGCTATACAGTGCTTGGGAATGTGAACTAGTCTTTGTGTTTTGTGAGGTATGAACAGAAACAGCAGACTTACCGCAACGTCTTTTATTGTTGGTGGTGGTGTTGATCTTCTAATCTCAGGTTTGAACCAGTAGCGGTTTTTAAAAGCATTTTCATATGTAAATGGTGGTAATTGAGAAATAGTAAGTAGAGATCTCCGTATTTCCATAAATATTTTTACTTAGATGTAACCCCAATATAAACATTAAGAGCTTCAATCTATTTTGGAAACTAGGAACTGTGCAAACATGTGACAGTCCCTATCCCAAATAACCTTACAATCTAAAAGACAAGGTAGACATATCAGGGGAAACATGAAGGACAGCATCCCAAAAGGTATTGTGATCTAGCACAGACTAGTTATGAGCACAATTTGTAGCTAATTGGTAGCAGTAATCATTTTAATTACCACTTCCCATTTTTATAGATTCCATTTTTAAGTTGTTAGAATCACAAAAGAATAACCTTTGACTATCAGCTTAATATAATCTCAAAATGAATTTTGAGAGTTGAATAAAAAATAATTAGCAGTAGCCAGAAAGCAAGCTCATATCTTGTAAAATATACCTGACCTCTAATGATTTTTATTTAATTTATTTCTAAATGAAATACATAATGAAATGTAGGCCTTAACTGGTGGCCATAAACATCTAAACTGATTAATGGCTTTAGAAAAATCATGAATGGTAGTAAGGCTTTTAAACACTATTTCTAAACTATGCTGTTCTAATTCCTCTTACATTATTTCAAAGCTGCTTTAGTAGTATGTTCATCTTTAATCAAGAGGGCAGAGAAATGACTTTGTTCACAGTTCAGTGAAGTCTGGAAATTGGCCAATAGTCAATGATCAGTTAGCTGTGTGACCGCAGCAACAAATGTATTACTTTTGAACTCAGAGACAATTTAGTGTGGTAGTAGTGTGCCACTGACTAAATGTGCAGGTTTAAATGTACTGTGATTATTTTTTAAATAAAATCTTATAGTGATCTTTTCCCTGTATTGTGATATTTTCTCTGTGTTGAATTTAATATATATTGTGTGGTTTAACCCTTTTAATATGACTCTCATGTAAACATCTAAGCTGGATAGTTTTGCCTTGTTTCTTTTTATAATAGTCTTAAGATTTCAAATTTCCGAAGGAAGCTTTTTGTTTGTGTATAAAGTTGATTTGAGTTTACCATTTATTTATACAGTAAAACTCCATTAGTCCGGCATCCAATGCTCCGGGACTCCTGATGGTCCGGCACCATCAGGAACCCGGAAGTGCTGGGGCAGCCGGACAGACTTCCCCCATTCAGCTGCTGCTGAAACTGACCAGCAGCTGAGTCGGGGAAGCCGGGAGCAGAGCAGTTGGGGTGCTGCTGGGTGCCGAGCAGGGGGGTGAGGAGCGGCACTGCGGGACCAACCCAGCAACACCCCAGCTGTCCCCAATTCAGCTGCTGCTGAAACTGACCAGTGGCTGACTCCGGGAAGCCAGAGGCAGAGCTGCTCTGCCCCGGGCTTCCCAGAGTCAGCTGCTGGTCAGTTTCAGCAGCGGCTGGCCTGGGGGTGGCCTGGGGAGAGGAGG